CGATAAAGTTCAATACTGTGCATGTTGTTTGACGTTCCTAACAGAACCCAACAAATTGACTAAAATTAGACCAATAACAAGTTTAATATTTTTATAATGTATTATATGAAGAATTACGGTCTCGTTTAAAGTGGATTTTGGTCGAATAACAACTATAACGATTGTCCATTCAATTTTTCAATACTATAACAAATGGACAATCGTTATAGTTGTTTTTTGGAACAAAATGCATTTTATTTATGGTTTTTTGATCGAATTACTTGATTACTGACGTATATCCATGCTACGTGCCATTGGAACGATAGTTAGAAGGTGTTGGATCGTCAAAACACTCACGACAAAACTCTTTTTTTTTTTTTTCTAAATAACAACACTTGTTCTTTATTTATTTTTTTAAAATGGTTAGATCATGTAAAATGTTTGTAAATTCGTTATTTTACATGAAAAAAAAGACTAAAATTAGACCGATAACGAGTTTAATATATTTATAATGTATTATATGACGAATTCCGGTCTCGTTTAAGGTGGATTTTGGTCAAAAAACAACTATAACGATTGTACATTTGTTTTTTCAATACTATAACGAATGGACAATCGTTATAGTTGTTTTCCAGAACAAAACACGTATTCTTTATGGTTTTTTCAATCGAATTACTTGATTACTCATGTATATTCATGCTACGTGCCATTGGAACAATAGTTTGAAGGTGTTGGATCGACGAAACACTCACGACGAAACTCTTTATTTTTGAAATAACAACACTTGTTCTTTATCTTTTTTTTTCTAAAATGGTTAGATCATGTAAAATGTTTGTAAATTCATTATTTCACATGAAAAAGACTAAAATTAGACCGATAACAAGTTTAATATATTTATAATGTATTATATGACGAATTACGGTCTCGTTTAAGGTGGATTTTTGTAACACCCCGCCTTATTGTGAAATCAGAGCGCGAAAATTTCGCAAAGTCTTTTAAAAATGAATCTTTTACTTTGCGAAAACTGATTCGGGGTGCTACCTTGAAACATGACTTAATTTAGAAAATCGTTATTTTAATTTTTTTAATAAAATCATACGGTTACTGAAGCATAAAGTTTTCCAAAAGTCCATTCAAAATATAAGTTCGTCAAAAGCCATCATCAGCGGAAACGTAAATCGTCATATTATATATACAATCAAAACATGAAAGTCCTGAAGCCTTCGTCTGCTCACGCTCCCTGCCCGACATCCTGACCTAAAAAACATGATAACAATGGAAAATAAGCACTATGGCACTGTGCTCCGTGGAGACTCATACTAATATAAACATTGAAAATAATAACAACATCATGATATCGACATATACATAACCTCAACAT